TGTCCCTGCCCCGGCCTCTCTCACACCATCCCAAGCTTGGCTCCAGCATCATCCCCCCTTGGTGTGTGAAGCAACAGGGCAGAGCTGGATGTCAGACAGACGGGCTTCCACAAAGTGGCTTTGATCAGCCACTCAGTCTGCTTATCTATAAAATGAGGACACTGTTCCCACATGAGAATATTATGAGGACTGAATGTGACTTCATATGGGAAGTGCTCGGTAAATACTATTTCCATCCTCTCTTCCCCCAGGAAGCATGTTGCTCCTCCTCGTGCTGTTGGGGACACATTTCTATCCATAGCTCTTGCACTGGGTGAGATGAGATCACCCCTTCCTACTAGGAGGGAGGAGAGGCAGCGGCACCACAATTATCTAACTGGGGTTGGTCTCTCTCTTAGATTGCAGGCCACCTTTGAATGCCAGTTCTGCAAACGGCAGCATCAAAGCCATGTTAATTCCAGGAATCTGGCTCTTCCTTTAAGAGGAGGCTGTGCTATCTGCAGAGGAAAGTGCTGTGCACCTGCCTCCCTCAGGTAGCAGTAAGAGCACTGCTTGCCGCTCCCGCTGACAGAGATTAACCTGGAGTCTCAGCCCCACTACTGCCCGCACCTCCAGGCAGAGTCCACGCCCTCCCCACTCCAGAGGGCAAAACACAGGCAGAGGAAGCTTCTTTAGGTTTAGCACAGCCTGGGGGGTGGCAGGGGTGCCTCCTCGTAGGGGAAGGGAAGAGCCAGGAGAGGGGTTTAGCTCAGGACTCTGGGAAGGAACTGGGTACTCAAGAGACAAAGCCTGGATGGACAGGGACCAGGTCTGAGGTCTGTAAGGTGCTGCCCGGCGTTGTGAAGTAAGGTACAACCATTTCCCTTCCTCCACCTGCACTGCTCTGCACAACCCCTCCACGGAGGCTGAGTGTGCATCTGACCCCCAGGAGGCTGGTGAGGCACTGAGAGAGGTTTGGGAAAGGGAGGGGAAGGGAATCATGCATTCTAGGGCTCAGGGCTCAAGCCTTCCAAACAGGCACTCAGGGCATTGTCACATGGATTCATGGGTGTCTACAGCAGTGGGCACAGCGGGGGGAGGGGGGGGAGCACCTAAGATGACTCCCTAGACAAATGTAACCTCACGGCCTCTAGTTCACCCGCCGCTCCCACCCGGCCCGGGACAGCAAGATGCCCTTGTCAGGCAGCAAAAGGCAGCTGCTCTGGCTGGGTTAGACACTTGTCCCAGTGTGTTGCCACTCCCCAGCGAGAAGGGGCCCTTATTTATTCTCCTTGGCACGCCTAAAGCCTGATGCGGGGCTTACCACACAGCAAATTCCTGAAGTATCAATATTTGTTGAATGAATATTTTATGAATAAATAAAAGAATAAGCGAGTTAGAAGCATTCAGAAATGAGAATTTAAGCAAAAACTTAATAACAAAAAAGCCTGAAGCACAAGACTAAATTGTGATTATTTGCAGCTGGGACTGTTAATGTCATCAGCCTCGCATTGCCAAGAATGAGTCAAGCTTACTATACAGGACAAGCTTAGCAATTTATAATTTCTTTAAAGTGTTTTATACTAGTGTCATCAGAAGACCAGATTTATGTTCTCTGGGATCTTGGACTACATCAAGGCATTTAGACAAGAAAGAGTAGTCCGAGGGCTGACAGTTCTCTATGCAGCAGCACTGGACCCAGCACTGCCAAAGGCGTAGACCCCAGGGGATGCATCGGTGCTCCCTGAAGGCACCTGTCCTCATCCTTAGGAACCTGAGGTGCCGCAGCATCCAGCCACAGCCCTCACAGCTCATACACACGTGTTCCCACACCCAAGTGACAAGTCCTGTCCAAGGGATCTTGGGAAGGAGGGTTCTATGGCACCTCTCAAAGGCAGGCCATAAATGCCCCCCAAGCCATTGAATCTCTAGCTTCCAGCAGCCCAAGCAGGACCTGCTACAAGGTTGCAGGGCCTGGCTTGACATTCATGCATGTCATTAACAGTAATCACATTAAATATGAATACCCTGGAAGCCACCTCACAGTGAGTGCATTAGCATGGAAATGAATAAAGTGGCATATTTACACAATGAAATATTAATAGCAGTTCAAATGAAAGAACCAGATTTATATTTAGCTCCAAAGAATAATGCTGATTTTTAAAGTTTTAAAAGGACATATATGATATGGAACCACTTATGTCATTAAAAAAAAAAAAACTCTCGGCCAGGCCCAGTGGCTCTTGCCTATAATTCCAGCACTTTGGGAGGCTGAGGCAGGCAGATCACAAGGTCAGGAGTTCAAGACCAGCCTGATCAACATGGTGAAACCCCATCCGTACTAAAAATACAAAAATTAGCTGGGTGTGGTGGCAGGCACCTGTAATCCCAGCTACTCAGGAGGCTGAGGCAGGAGAATCAATTGAACCCAGGAAGTGGAGGTTGCAATGAGCCGAGATTGTGCCACTGCACTCCCGCCTGGGTGACAGAGCGAGATTCCATATCAAAAACAAAACAAAACAAAAAAACTCTCAAAATAATGTTTGGTTGGAGATATATGTATGTACAATAAAGTAGTAAAACATGGATGTGCAATGATACCATCACCTCTAAGAAAGAAATTACCCTGAAGAAGAAGGAAAGAGAAAAGAAGATAGGATGAGGTGGGCAGAAGAGAAGACTTTAGCTATTTTTACTTTTATTTTTCCCAATACTTTCTTCTAGCAAATTTCAAATATAAGGTGAAAAAAATTTACAATGAATACCCCATATGCCCATTAAGAGACGCTACTGTTAACATTATACTATATTTGTGTTAGCACCTAATGTATTCATCTGCCCATCTATTAATCTGTCAGATATTTTATACAACTCAAAGACTACTGTAGACATCATGCCCGGACCTCAAACCCTCCAGCGTGCATATCATTAACAGAGCTCCACACTGGTTTAGTTTTTCCTTCTGATACAAAGCTGATACATCAGGAAATGTACAAATCTCAACTGATTATTTGCTGAGTTTTAACAAATAAATACATGTGTGTGACCCAAAACCCGACTGATATATACAACATGACCGTCACCAGAAAACTACCCTTATGCCCTTTCCCGATCAAACCCCGTTCCAGTCTCTCCAGAGGGAACAAATGTTCTGACTTTTTCCATCATAAACTGGTTCTGCTTGTTCTACAGGTTGGTGTAAAAGTAATGGCTGTTTTCACCATTAAAAATAATGGCAAACGCCGCAATTACTTTTGCAGCAACCTCCAGTATTTCATATCAATGGGATCACATGGCATATGCACTTTGGGTAAGGCTCCTTTCACCCAGCATCCTGTTCCTGAGAGTTGCCTGTGCTGTTCTGTGTATGAGTAATTCATTCGTTTTTGTTGCAGAGTACCATTCCGTTTGTAAGAAAACACCACCATTTGTTTGTCCGTTCTCCTGTAACGGACACCTGGCCTCTGTTTTCTGGCTAGGAACACTGTTGTATAGGTCTTCTTGTGACCACATGTTTTATATTATCCTTAAATAAATAACTAGGGTTGAAATAGCTGGGCAAAGGGTAAGTGTACGTTTAAGTTTATAGGATAGCCCCAGACCTTTTTCCAAAGGAGCTGCACTATTTTATATCCCCACCCACAAGGCATGAGAGTTCCAGTTGCTTCACACCCTCACCAACATTTGGTGCTGTCTTTAACCATCCTGATGAGTGTGTCATGCTGTCTCATCGTGGTTTGGACTTATATTCCACCACTGATTGATAATGTTAACGTTGCCATTTTAAAAAACATTTTATTTCCTTAAAACAAATGAAAGAGGCAGAGAGAGGGAGAGAGAATGATCTGGGGCAAAAAAAAAAAAAAAGCAAAATCTAGGATGTGGGTATGCCAAGTTCAAAGTTATTTTCTGTATGTTTGAAGTCTTTAGCAATTAAAAATAAAAATATTATTCCATCTGCAATTCCATCTGTAAGCGGATGTCCCTAGAACCCAGGCTGGGCTCGGAGGCACAGCTTCTTAGTATGGAGGCAGGCTGAGTGGGGAGCAGGTCAGGGGCCCATGGAGGGGCTCCACCATGGAAGGACCGCATCACCCCGGAGTCACTGAGCTCCACCAGCCTCCAGACATGCCCTGGCGGCCCTGGCTTCGCTCCTGACCAGCTCTCACTTCTGCATCAGCCTTCACTCACCTCTGCTGGGCCAGGGGTCTCCTGAGGCTGACCCTGGCCAGCGTTTGGTAGTGCCACCTCTCTTTGCCCTCCAGAGACTGGGTTTGAGTGACTGTGCTCCCCTCCTGAAGGTCTAAGCCTGGCCTGTCTTTCTGTAGCATTAATTCCTCAAAGGAATTCCTATTGATGCTGACATGCAGTTCCCAAACTGATGCCAAATATTTCCACATACTACCTTTTATTATTTTTTTTTTGAGACAGAGTCTCGCTCTGTTGCCCAGGCTGGAGTGCAGTGGTATGATCAATCTCGGCTCACTGCAACCTCCGCCTCCCGGGTTCAAGTGATTCTCTCGCCTCAGCCTCCCAAGTAGCTGAGATTACAGGCATGTGCCACCACACCTGGATAGTTTTTGTAGTTTTAGGAGAGATGGGGTTTCACCATGTTGGCCAGGCTGGTCTCAAACTCCTGATCTCAGGTGGTCTACCTGCCTCGGCCTCCCAGAGTGCTAGGATTACAGGCGTGAGCCACCACGCCCCACCCAGATACCACTTTCTTAAGAATTTAACAGCGAAGATGCCGAGATGCTGCCGGGTCCTCAAATGCGGGCTCCGAAAGCACATGTGTTACTTCCTCAGATGCCACCCGGCTTTACCTACTTTGCACTTAGCTCTAATTTAAAACCACTCCAGATTCTCCCACCAAACTTGAATAACCACTACGATATCTCTGAAAGGGAGACAAACTGCCCATCCTCTCAGGACCTGGAGTGGATTAGCTCCACACCCTCCCAAGCAGGGTGGTGAAGGCAGAGGGCGGCCTGCGGCGGCGCAAGGGGCCATGAAGCACTTACCGCTGGCACTCGCCGGCATGCAGGATGAGCGCCTCGCTACTCCTGGTGCTGATGGTCAGCTCATGCTCGGTGGAGTTGAAGACATCCAGGAGCAGGTGACACTGCCGGGTACTGCGATCAAGACAAAAGAAAGTTCAGAATCTTCTGACAGCCAAAGAGGAATAACTTTTCCTATTTCTCCTCTCCAAAGATTTCCTGCAACTTAAGAGGGGCAAAGTATATCAAAATGCCAAGTGCTCCTGGGCTCAGAGGATTACGGAGACTGGTTCTGAACACGAGTGTGAACTCTAAGGAGCGGGTGTCAGCATCAGGTTCTCCCTGGGCCCGGGGTCCTGGGGACATGTGCTCACAGCCCAGCCATGCTTTTTACCAACCAAGTGGCCTTGGGAAGGTAACCTGAATTCTCCACACCTCGACATACACTGACGACTGGAACACCTGACTCTAAAGTCTGGTCATCCCTGACTCTAAAGTCTGGTCATCTGCGTCATATGCCTGCGGAGAAACGCAGGCATACAGTGCCATTCAAGGGTGCTGTGTCCAAGTCAGCATCCTCAGTTACCAGGTTCCACGCTGGGCCCCGAAGTGTGGCGACGCGTGTCCTGCTTGTGTGTGTGTGCACACCCAGTGTGAGCTTCTCCCATGCGGGCACCTCTAGAACTGGGGCAGACACTGGGGGGTTATTCACCACCCTCTGAAGCCTCTACTCCTTTGTTTCCTCTCTTCTAGAGGTGACAAGTAAAATGCTCAAGTTCCCATTGTTCCTTGCAGGGACTGGTCCACGTGGTGAAGTTCTAGCCAGTAAGGCACAGGCCCCTAGAGACTTTCCTTCCCAAATACAAACACCATGTCCTGGGAGAAGGCTTTTACCCTTCCGCCTTCCTCATTCCCCTTCCTTCCTCCCTAGAAGCAAGCAGGATGCCCAGAAGCTCAGTAACCATCAGGGACACTGAGGACAAAAACCACAGGCTGTGGCTGGCAGAGCAGGGTCGGGGGTGCTTGAGAGCCACATCCTTGAGTGGTCGTGGCAGCCCTGCACTGCCAGCCTCCCTCTAGCCGTGTGAACTCCATGCAAAGTGGAAAAATCCAGCCCCACACGCGCCGTCTGTGTCCGTCATCATCTGATAGGTTAACGTTACAGTTGAATACTTGCCGAAAACTCATACGGTATCTCAGACACCAAGTATCACAGTCAGCACATAACAGGTCATCAATAAATGTCTGCTGAGCTCAGTGGATGGCTGCACCCACGACAGGACAGACAGAGATGACAGTAACTGAACAGAGGCCATTCTTCTTGGAAGAGCAGGGTAAACAGTTTTCATGGGGGGAGAAAACTAAGAGAAAAAGATCTGTGCTCTGGGTCATTATTAGCCTAGTGTGACTTCAAAACATGGCCTTCCAAAGGGTATTTGAATTCTCAAATGTATTTCTCCAAGTAGGAGGCAAGGCTTCGCTGGCTGTTAAAGGAAAGTCCGGTCAAAGGAAAGGGACAATCGCCTGTGACTTCATCACAACAGCCTTGGGGGTAGTCCGTGGAGCCCCAGCTGCGCTGAGACGGAGGCTCAGGAGAGGACAGGCATGCTGCTGTGATGCCTCAGGCCCTGGGTGCAGAGCTCGAAACCCCTGGCTTTTCCCGATAGATGTGGACCTCTATTCATTCCAAAGCCACACATGTCCTCGGCAATTCCCAGAGAGGGGAAGTGAGGCACAGGGGGTGCAGTGACAGGCCCAGAAGTTCACGCACACACATATACACTCTCACACACGTGCACGCACGCACACACAAGTATGACTTTGTCAAAAGGACACAGGGCATCTGTGAAATATCAATTTCTCAGAACATGGGCATGTGACCTGCTCTCAGGGGGAAAGCGGCAGCATGTCACCATTTCTTTTTCTCTTTTTTTTTGACAGAGTCTCACTCTTGTCGCCCAGGCTGCAGTGCAGTGGCACGATCTCGGCTCACTGCAACCTTCACCTCCTGGGCTCAAGCAATTATCCTGCTTCAGCCTCCTGAGTAACTGGGATTATAGGTGCCCGCCACCATGCCCAGGTAATTTTTGTATTTTTAGTAGAGACGGGGTTTCGCCATGATGGCTAGGCTGGTCTCAAACTCCTAACCTCAGGTGATCTGCCCGCCTTGGCCTCCCAAAGTGTTGGGATTACAGGTGTGAGCCACGGCGCCCGGCCGTATGTCACCATTTATATCATGTAGCACAGCGTCAACAGGGTGCCGCACACCTTGAGATGACAGCTCCCGTCAGCTGAGTCTGGGTTTTCTGGGTGGGGCTGTCTTCCCCAGAGGTTTGGCGCTTGGAAAACATTCATTAGCTCTGACAGCTGCCTACAAGAGGCCTGTTCGCTCAGCTCACAGAAAAATGAGCTTCCGAGAATGAAGATCTATTCCTCTGTTGTCATAACTTCATGAAATCTTTAATCACAGCAAAATCTTTCATCAGAAAAGGGAACTCGTAAAACATTTATCAGAGGAGGAAAATTGAAGTGATTTTTTAAAAGCCTGGAATAAAAGGTTCAAATATATTTTGTTTTCACTCACAGAATAGAGTGCTTAGGAAACGGCACAGGAATGAGCAGCATCGATACACAATGCGTTTCTGTCCTCTTGCTCTTCTTTTTTCTGACTCACTGTCTGAGTGTGGGGGCGTCTGGATCTAGTGTTTCTATTCCTTCTAATTGTTGACATGATGATGTATTGGTGGAGCTTGGCTTCCTATCTGTTATTCATAAGTTTCCTTTCCCAGACTGCAGCAGCGGTTTGTGCCATCATAATGTCATTTATTCTATGTACCTTTCCATATGGCTCTGGATGCTTGGTTTTAAGGCTGATGCTCTGAGCATATGGTTTACCTTAATTCTTGTTTGCTTTTGGGGTTTGTTTGTTTACTTTCTGGACACATCTATCTGAAGTATGGGAAAATCCAAGAAAGCTTCCCAGAAGAGCTGAGACCAGGGCGAGTCTCTGAAGGGGACAGACACGTTTGCCTGGCTTAGAAGAGACAAGGGAACAAAGCCCCGGCAGCATGGAGGGGCCCAGTTATTTTGGGAATCTGGAGTCAGGTTGAGTGTGGGAGACCAGGCTGCCAGGTGAAAAAAAGAAGTCCTTTTTCAGCAGAGAGAGCAGTTATGTATTAATAAAACCACTTTGATAACAGTGAGTGGACACTATATCCCAAATTGGATATTTTATTAATTATTTCATCCAACAAATACCTCCTGAGGAACTGAATGAGAAAGACAAGATCCCTACATTCGTGGCTATTATACTCTTGTGAGGGAAAAGGGCGGGACTGACGGGGTTGTTTTAAAAAATAAAATTTGCTGTCATTTTTTATAAAATTTAAAAAAAAAGTTGAGAAAGATTGTTGAATAAAAGATTAAGGCACACAATCAATACCAGTCGTACACATCAACTAAAAACAATTACAATACAAACTTTTTGAGAAAATACATTTATAATAGCAACACAGTCCACAACGCAGGTAGAAATAAATCTAACAAAATATACGCATGATATTTATGTAAAAAAATTATAAATTCATGGAACAATATTAACGAAGAAAAATAAGTGTAGAGATGTACAGGCTGAGTATCCCTTATCTGAAATGTGTGGATCAGATGTGTTTCAAATTTTGGGTTTTTTAAGATTTTTGAATACTTGAATTATACTCATGAAGTGAGCATCCCAAATCCAAAAATCTGAGATGCAAAACACTCCAATGAACATTTCCTTCGAGCATCATGTCAGTGCTCAAAAAGTTTTGAATTTTGGAGCATTTCAAGTTTTGGGATGCTCAACCCACGTTATGTTCAAAGATGGAAAGACTTAATATTTTTAAAGAAGTTATCTCTTTCCAAATTTCTATAAACTCAGTGCAACTCAATAAGAAAAATCCCAGCAGGGTTTTGTTAAAACAATGATGTGGGAGGTTTCTGGAAGGAATCTGGCCTACTAGATGTCAGGAATTGTTATAAAGCTGTAATCATGAAGACAGTGGCACTTGGGGCAGTGACAGAGAAATGCGTTAGTGAAAGAAAAGATAGCCACAAAGGAGACCCATGAATATAAGGAAACTGGAGAGATGATTGTATTGGTGGTGTTGATTAATTAGGACAAGATTCATCAAATAGTGCTGGGAAAAATGATTAAGAAGGAAGACAGAAAATTAGATCCCTACCTCACATCATATATAAAAATAAATTCCAAACAGAATGAATAGCTAAATATACAAAAACAATATTTAAAAATCTTTAGAAAAAATATAGATGAACAGTTCATGACCTTGGAAAAAAGAAAGATTTCTCAAATGAGTTACAATACATATAAAATATAAGGGAAAAGAATAAAATGTTTGGCTGCATTAAAATTAAGAATTTTGGTACAACGAAAAACATCAAAAATCAAAGCAAAGACAAGCTTCATTTTTAATGTGTTGCCAATATATTTTCACAGGCATTTGCAACACATTAAATTGACTAAGGATTAGAATTCTCAATTTATAGAGAACTCCTATAAATCAATAAGAAAGAAATGACCCAATAGAAAATCAAGCAAAGGACAAGAACCAACAATTTAAAGTAGGGGAAACCCAATGACCAATAAACAAGAACAGAAGCTCAATCCAACTAGTAGTTAGAGAAATGGAAATAAACCTAAAAGTATTCTTTCTCACCCAACCTATTGGAAATATTTTTAAAGTGTCCCAGTACCAAGTGTTGGTCAAGCTATAGATCAATAGGAAATATGGGAATTCTTGTCACTGCTGGTAGGGATACAAATTGGTACAACTCCTTCAGAGAGAAAAAGTTTGACCTAACAATTCCATTTGTAGCTGCCTGTCTTGGATCAACACAGTTTGGCAAAAGGGCACATTCGAAAGTGTTCAATGCAACATTGTTTATAAAAGTAAAGAACTGCTTTTAACTAAGTGCACATCAACTGGGGAGCAGATGCAGACATGCAATGGTCGAGTTATATGATGAAAACCTATGCAGAGGTGACAATGAATTTAAAAGAACTATATGCCCCATCACAAAGTTCAAGTTAAAACTCCTGGGTAAATAAGTTGCAGAAGATATCATACAATATA